CGCCATGATAAATGGAAGAGAGCTCGCGAGAACTCATCGGGGAATTACTTATACGAGCAAACTAATGTTGTTGCTCAACGTATTGTAAGTAGCATATCCTAAACTAATTATATATGTTATACTACAATAGGCATTTGTATTTGCTAAAAAATCATTCGTTTGTGTTGTAGGATGAGTTGGTTGAAGCGAGCACTCGGGGATCATTCCACCCACATGGCCGTCGGGATATATTGGCGGTGGTCATTGGTACCCCGAGCAACCTGGACGTGTTCGTGGTGCTTCGGACGAGGGTGGGCATCGAGACGGTACTTTGGTGCCCCACCCGTGGCAACTCCTTCTTTGAGGCAGTTGAATAAGCAAGAGTTTGAGTCCCTCAAACAACAAATTAGGAAGGAGATTCGAGATGAGGTGTACTCGACTTGAAGGCAGAGTTATTGAGCTCAATGCGAGCGAGTTGACATCTTTGTCATCTCAACCTTACGTCCCGCACGAGCGGCATCCCCGATTCATGTCGGCACAAAGGAGAGTTGTGATGCTCCGATAGAGGGCGAGAGGTTGCTCCTACGACACTGCTGGCTGTCGGTTGTATGTTGCGGGTCCTCCCGAGCATTTGGTGGCATACGGTACGTATTATATCTTTGACATGTATTTGGTACGGTGTTACACATTATATAGTCTAAGATATTTTATCCTTTGTTTACCTTAGGGAAAATGTATGCATTGGGGTCAACCATCCACCACCGGAGTATTGGAGATGATATGATCGAGTGGTGGTTGTAGATGTCCGGGATGCTGCTTGCCCCAATCCCTATTCCCACTTGAAGAGGTTCAAACAGTGGGACGGGCACCTGGCCATTTTATCTTATGGCCAGTTTCATTAACAAGACCCATCCCAACACATGCACGGGTTGATTTATGCATTGAACGATAGTACTTATTATTTTTTGATAGGTTGATGTATATTAATGTTATTGATTTTTGGTACTTGTATAGGAAGAGGCTGAAAAAGCAAAGGAAGTTGTGCATGAATCACCACCACCACCATCTGCTTTACAGCGACTCGGTGCACTGGCGGCGACTATCGGGACCACTCCCATACGGTTAGATATGCCACCCGAAGTCGTATGCGGGACCAAGACGATCCCTTTTTTCTTACTCCAAAGGGATATTTTTGATCTTCTCGTCGGTACTCGATATGTTATGTGTATCGGTGTTGCGGCTTTGGGAATTGTAAGTATATTTACATATTTTTTATATTCTCACTGGTACATTATTTTATAACTTTATTTATTTTCAATGTTGAAGGTATTTACATCGTTTGTGTGTTGAGAGGAAGATCCGCTATCTCTATGGATTTGTTGACCCTGTTGCCATTCGAGTCAGTTGGGAATAAAGTCGAAGAGGTGCAAACGTACTTAATAGAGGCATTTCAAAATGGGGGCAAAGAAGTCTACTTAGCACCTTACTTGCATCGGTAAGTATACATCTTGTAAATTAATGCACATTTATGTAAAACTGAAATTTTACTAATATTATTGCAACGTGCGGGGGTCATTGGCGGCTCATAATAATTGTTCCTCGCCAATTTCTTGTGATTCTCTTGTGTTCATTACACAAGAAACCAAATGATTTGGATATTAGAAAGCACATAGACGCGTAAGTTTGGTTGTTTTTAATTGTTGTATCATATGTGCACTACTTACACCAAAATTATTTGTCCTTTTGTAGAGCTTTGGAAGCTCACCTAAGGTTGCAAGGTCTTCCATCTCATGCTAGAAAGAAGTTGACGTATATTGCACCAAAGGTGACCAAACACCTCTTACTTGTTGTTCAATTTGTCATTTAAAGTTAATCTGACATGTATTTAACTTGTAGTGTCCACGCCAACCGGGAAGCCATGAGTGCGGGTTTTATGTGATGAAGCACATGCACACCATTGTAGTCAAAAATATTCTTGACACGTGGAGGGAGGTAAATATACTATAATTAAGTCAAATATGCCAATTATGTAAATGATTTCTAAATTTGAAATGTTTCAATATGTAGGAATTTACAGACTCATCTCCAATGAAGATTGAAGTCTTAGACGATATCAGAGAGCAGTGGGCTTCTTTCCTTTTAAGCATTCAATCTTCATAGGAAATTTAACTTGTAACAATTTAGATAGAATTGATTTAAGTTAGGAAATTTACATTCGTTTAAGTAAATGAACTGTCTGGAACTGGATCCGTACGTACATATATTCATTTCAATGTGTTTCATATGTACATATACATGCTGCAGTCGAATCATGTCTGTACTTGGATATATATCGTAGCAAATTTATATATGAACTGTGCATATCTGTCTGTACTGGATCTGTGGTTATTTGTCTGGAACTGTGATGAATAGGCAGGTCTACTCGAAGAAAGGTAGCATCTGTAAATAAAATGCAGGTATTTTAAAAAAATATAACACTTTCTACGTCGGTTATGTCATTACCCGACGTAGTAAGTACTTTCTACGTCGGTTATGCCATTAACCGACGTAGAAAGTGTAACATTTTATGTCGGTTATAGGCATAACCGACATTGATAACACATACAATCATGGTTACTGTTAACCGATATACATACTGGGGTTATAGAAAGTTAGAAAGTAAGACTTTCTATGTCGGTTATAAGTGTTAACCGACATAGAAAGTATTATGACAGGTCAGATTCAGTTATGATCGATCAGATTAGCTTCATGACCGATCAGAACCAGTTATGACCGATCAGGATAGCTCATACAACATAAGACTTTCTACGTCGGTTCCCAGACTAACCGACGTAGAACGTCTTTCTATGACCGATCAGAACCAGTTATGATCGATCAGAATAGCTCTATGACCGATCATAACCAGTTTGACCGATCATAATAGCTCAAAGAAAGTAAGGCTTTCTACGTCGGTTCCTATTAACCGACGTAGAAAGTCTTACTTTCTACGTCGGTTATTAGGATCCGACGTAGAAAGTCTTACTTTCTATGACCCCCGTATCTATGTCGCCGCTTTAACCGACGTAGAAAGCTCATTTTAACCGATGTAAAAAGCTTTTTCTGCAGTAGTGCATCTTTCAACTATTTTTCCTTCTTTTAATTGAGTATTTCATTTGTCTTAAATTTTCATAGGCTCTTATTTTTCCCTTTGTTTTCTAGGTTATTTTAGACACCTCCATTTTTCTCTCTTTTGATCATGTTTTTTAGGTTTTTACTCATGCCTATTTAAAGAAATCCCCCTATATCTTGTTTGGTTAGCTTATGATATGCCATGAAAAGTTCATTTAAGGAACTTTGATTCTAAAGTATTTTCTCTTCTTGATGACTTATCCTAAATTTTACACAAGTAGCGATATATCATCACTCAATGAGTTGACCAATTTTTTAATGTTTCTTTCTTAATCTTTTTCTTTATTTATTTTTTTAATTTCCACGTCCTATTATTATTTTTGTGATTATCTTTTATTTTTTACTTTTGATGTTTTTTTAATTTTCCACGTCTTATTATTATTTTTGTGATTATCCTTTATTTTTTTACTTTTGTACCTGAATTCATAAGAAACAATTCTTCATACTTAAATAAGTTTAAAATTATCTTTGTGTTCAGTAAAAAACTGTCCTTAAATTTACTTTCTAATTGCTAATGAAAAAGAAAACTGAAAATATTAATTGAGACGCATATTAAACCTAACACTCACTCATGAGAGACAAATCTTTGCTACAAAAAGTTAAGAAAATTGTTTTACCTGAATCCACGTAACATATTTTGGCACAATTTTTATGAGAGTACATAATCCTCCATCTTAAGCAATTTATAGCAAATACCTACCATAAACATTTATTGCAAATAGACTAAAAAGAATATTTGACTGAATACCCACAAGAGAAATAAACACAATAATTATGAGGGTAGAATTTCATATGTACCCAATCTAATAAATAACGATGCAATACTTTAAATTATTTTCATTTTAATTATATAAATAAAAATAAAAATAAATGCGTGTAAAATTGAAATACCCTTTGACTTTGGATATTTTTAATTTTTGAACAATATTATCTTCCATAAAATATTTATAGTATTATGTTAAAAAAAATTAGTAATTTATTGGATATAATTATAGTTGACCTACTTGCATTAGGAAAACAATAATTATTTTAAGCTTAAATTTTATGAAAATAGTATAGTTTGAATTAATCATTATATTTAAAATATCTCATCTGTATTAAAATTTAATATTCCATTAAAATTTTACTCTTAAAATATACAATAATATATATTATTTATAAAAAAAATGGGAACGTATTCAACAAATTACGAATATGAATAAAACTAATGATATAGTGACCTGTTTAGTCACATTTCTTTACTTTTTCTGTTATAGTGTATGACTTTGTGTATCATCCAAAAACTGAACCTTGAATCCACGAGGTACAAAGGTATTGGCATATATTAGTTTCTTCGGAGAAAAACAAAAGTTTCGCGTCACGTGCTTACCGATGATTGGCTCAGCATTCTAGAGCACACCAAAAGTTTCCTCTACCCTTATTATATTTCTTTTGTAGTTGGTTCAATGTTCTACTTCATAACTAATCTTTTGCTCATATTAATTAGTCCATTCCAACTCTGTTAATCGATTAAAATATATTATCTAGACCTATAATTAAAAATATTAGGCTATTTTAACTATTTCTCCTAAAATGCATGCGTTGATAAAAAAAAAATGCTTGTTTAAATATTTAAATTTCAACTAACAAATATTTTCAACAATTTATACTAAAGCATCAAATATCAATTTTTATGAACAATGTGCAAAGATTATTTTATCAATTGAAAACCATAAAAAGTACTCATATATGAAAAATTAAATAAAGGTTCAGCTGATAGTAGCCCATTTTTGAGATGTTAATATTTTATAGAACCTCCTGGTCCTAGCCATCCTCATAAACAAGAAATATAGCAGTTCAGAATTGAACAGTGCATGAAGAAAAAGGCATCACGGGATGAACTTTTGTTGGTAAACCGTGTCCAACAGGGAATAGTGGGTGCCATTCACACATGTAAAAGGGCACCATCACTCGAAGGTGGATTTGGTTGCCAACTTTCGTTAAGGAGGGGTTCAAATAATGATTTTTCTAAGCTTCAGACTGACTTTTGCTTACCTGTTATATTTTCTGAAACTTTGAAGTCTCTCCCTCTTCCTCATCAAGTATCAACCCTTCAAATACAATTCATAATCTTCTTGTGTATAATGTAGACCTGAGAAGAAATATAGGTAAGTTAGGCCTTTAATCTAATAATCATACATGCATGATTTTCTAACATTAAGGATTAAGTCTATACCAAACGCCTCCAATGTACCAGAAGGATGAATATGATGAGACTATATGTTCTTCGGGCAAGTTTAATATCAATCACGTCTCTAGTTTTGTCAACTTTTTTGGTATAACGGCACAAACAACTCCCTTAACTGAAACATATTTTATTTACAACAATGGAACATTTCTGGTCAACATTTTGGCTAGTCATTAATTGTCAATGTTTTTGTTACATGAAATATAGGATTACACTTCTGCTGGGATTCTTATTCAGCCTGATGATTAAGGGGGTAAATGTTGTCAAACATTAGCAGTATTTCAATGGTCTCATGTGACACTTTCTTTTAATAATTGTTTGTCCTTATGATAGGTTTGTGAAAGACTGTTGTGCCCCTTAATTGGACCACGCCCTACGCTGAAGGGAAACTTCCTTAATGTGAAATTGTGGAAACTGAGGGGCTGGGGTTTACCAAACCCATTTTAGCCATAGAAACTAAAACAAAAGGGAAAAAAATTGTAACATGAAAGAAAAGCTAGAGTTGGCCATTGGTTTTGAGATATATATATACATATATAAGGCCATTCACTTGTCATTATGCAAATGTCAGCACGTTTTTTTAAGGAGAATTTTAAAACGGAGATAACAGGAATAGACAAACTATTCCGAGGGAAAAACAACACTCGGAATATTGTTCTATTGGCCTTCAATCTCCCATTCTTTTGTATTTCGCAACGAAATACATTCGTGGTTATAAAGGTTTGTGATTCCATTTCTTACAAAATTCTCTCTCGGTTGAAAATTCTTTTCATATGCATGGAATGGTGAGAGCTTAGTTTCTTGCAATTTTAACAGCATTATACGAGTTCATTTTGGAATTTTTTTAATCTGTTCTTACGAGGCCGTGCTTGAAGTTGTTTATGAAATGGAGGTAATGATTGTTTTGGCAGGTTCATACTATTAAGAGATGAAGGGGAAGGTGGTGGGCAAGAGGAGCAAACGAGTTTTCTTTCTTTGCTGGTTTGGAATAACTCTGCGGTTGTTTTTCTTGCTCGGTGCCTGTTCTGAGAGACCATTGAGGTTCTAATCTATCTCTTCTTTTGCTTCTCATTTTGGTATATAGCAATTCTGCATTTTATCTGCTACCATCTTTACGTGTGTAAGAGACAACAAAAAGGAAAGCAAGAGAGAGAAGAGAAGCATGAGATGAAAGTATTTAAAGGAAAACATTCTAAGTTTGATGTTGTTGTTTTCATTCTTTATATGAAAAGTAATTCAAAGGGGTAACCATATTCATCCTCACACTTCTATAACTATTTATATATTTGTTTACTCATATTTTCTCACAACAATGATTTTTAAAAAGTTCAATTTTTTTAAACGCATTCAACATATCTTATTTTTCACTTTTAAATATCTAATAATCATTTTTATTTTTTTTCACACCACTAACTTTATCTAATACTTTCTTTTGTTAAAAAAAATAACATCACTTAGTTAAAATAAACAAATGGGATGGGGAGAGAGAGTGGGGCATGTAAGCAAAAAGAGTCACGGTTTCTTTGTCTTTTGTGTTCCGTTTCTGATCACATGAAACCTTTTCGAATTCTATGCCCTCTATAAGCTTTTAAGTGAAATGTATTTGTTATTTCTATGTTAACTTTTTCCCTTCTGAGATGGGTGCATCACTTTATGGTTTATGGTAATGAAAAGTTAGCCACTGTGGTGGTAATGGAAGGAATTGATTCTTGCACCCACGTCATCCCTGAACCATCTGTCTTTTAATTTCACATGTCTCCTCAATAGTCTTAACCTGAACCACAGATAATTCGTAATTCATGAAGCTAAATGTGTTTGTTAGTGTTTATATTAAAAATATATTTGTAGATAGTTTTCATGTTCACTAAAAAAGCGTGAGTAAATTATTTTCAAAATTCAACCATGTAAACTTTCACTCGCCCTGATAAACCAATTTCACTTCAGCATGTCTCTCTAACTGTTTCTCCCAAATTTGACATTTTTGACAGAAAAGGAAAATGAATTTTGTCTCTAGTTGTAATTGAATTTGTATGTCATCATGTTCTTTCTTTTTCTTTTTCTTTTTTAATATTGTCCTGTTGCAAACGTAAACAAATAGTCCACAGCAATGGTTTAACTCTATTTTATTAATATTTTTCTCTCCATGCATGTCCTTCAATTCCAGAAAAGGTCTAAGGGAGGGCAAGCCCTCGCAACGGGAACCTTCGAATCCTGGGGTCATTCTGAATACAAAGAATCATCAACAGGTGATTCGACTTTTCCAACAGTTAATTTAATTCCTTCATTATTTAATTAGATTCTCTCGTTTGGTCTGAAACATGTGAATCGTTTTTTACACCAACAATTGTCTTGGACGTTCACTTTTTCAGTTGGTGGTTGAGAATGCAATTGTTTCCATAAAATTTTCAAGACCAGAGGGTTACATCCTTGGAATGTCATATAAAGGAATTAACATACTTGAAGATGAAAACGAAGAACAAGATAGAGGGTATGTACCTACCTCATAGGAAATTCAAGTTTGAGTTTAAATAATCAAGATTGCTGTAAAGTCAAAGAGACTAATGTTTGGTTTAATTCTTACATTGACCGAATAATACGTGTTCATATTTGTTTGTAGTTACCTGGACGTCGTTTGGAATAAGCCAGGAAAATCTAGTAATTTTCAGAGGTATAAATTTTGTCTTCTTGATAATTATTATATTAAATTATTGGTTCATGTATTGGTAAACTTAATGACAGGGTAGTAGTAACAAAAAAATGAATGCCAGATTCTGCCCTGAAGTGATTCACGAGACTAATTTATAATTGGAAACATGGTGCAGAATCATCGGGACAAATTTTTCGGTTATAGCAGCTGACGACGATATGGTGGAACTTTCATTTATGAGAACATGGACATCATCCATGAATGGCTATAGTGTCCCCATGAACATTGACATGAGGTGAATTATAAGCTATACTCACAGTCTCTGCTACCATTATAAGTTAATAAGAACTATAAATATGTGTATAAGCTAATTAGCGTTGCACGAAACAAACTTTTACACGCAGATACATTTTGCGAAGTGGTGATTCAGGATTTTATTCATATGCAATATTTGATCGCCCTGAAGGATGGCCTGCGCTCGAGATTGACCAAATTAGGATCGTTTACAAACTCAAGAAAGCCAGGTAATAGCTAGAAAAAAGAAAATCTACTTTTGAGTTCATGTGAATTCTTCATGCAGCTAAGATGAAAATATGCTTAAAAAGTGAAGTTTTTTTTTTCTTTTGGTGAATAAAAAAAAGTCAAGCGTTTAATTTTCATTTACTATTTAGCTAAAAATGAGTCTTTCAATAATTTAAAACTGTATTACTAGAGTGAATAGTAAATTTGGGTAACTTAACTTTTTGAAAGCAACAGAAGATCCAACGATGCGATTTAGTAATAGAGAAATGAACGGCGCAGGTTCAGCTACATGGCAATGTCAGATGAAAGGCAAAGGAACATGCCAACGAGGAGAGATAGAGAAACTGGTCAAACCCTGGCATACCCAGAAGCGGTTCTTTTAACCAGACCAAGCAACCCGGAATTCAGAGGAGAGGTATGCAGCACTTTTTTGTATGCTTGTCTAATATGCCAACATATTTTTTTGGCTGTTTTTACCCTTTGTTGGTTCGAAGTTCAAAATGCCCGTGAATGAATGAAATGATGGTGTTTGTGTCGGGCTCAGGTGGATGATAAATACCAATACTCATGTGAGAACAGGGCTAACACTGTTCATGGATGGGTGAGTGTTGATACTGATGCACCCGTGGGTTTTTGGATGATAACCCCAAGTAATGAGTTCCGCAATGCTGGTCCCATCAAGCAAGACCTTACTTCACATGTTGGCCCCATTACCCTCTCGGTATGTCCCAGCAACTCCTGTCCTAATCACCCACAACAAACATAGCATCAATTCCAATTTCGATCGCACTCTCATTTCTATCTTGGATGGCCCAATTTTTTAAATTATGCTTCAAGATTATTTTTAAGATAAATAATTTTTCTTATGCATATCATTGCACTTTTAATTTGTACGTTTTAATTTTGTGTAGATGTTTATGAGCACGCACTATGCTGGCAAGGAGGTAACCATGGCATTTGAAGAAGGGGAGCCTTATAAAAAGGTTTTCGGTCCTGTGTTTGCCTACGTTAACTCTGCTTCAGGAGAGGATGGTACACTATCCCTCTGGTCAGACGCAGTGCAGCAGGTACCAGTTACCCTTAACAGCTCCAAACTGTGCTTATTTATCAAAGGTTACTAAAGCTCCTGTGTTATGACACATGATTTGATTTTCCTCTGTAACCAATTAGCAAGCCAAAGAAGTCAGACGTTGGCCTTACGAATTTCCTAAATCAGTAGATTTCATTCCACCCAGCGAAAGGGGAATAGTTTTGGGAAGATTACTAGTCAAAGATAGGTAAAGAAATGCCAATGCTTTGTACCCGCATTTTGTTTCATTAATTTCTTACTATCTATAGAAGAGGCTAATGTTTCTTTTATTTCCTTGCTTCACCAGTTACTTCAGAGGAGGTAGACTTCTGTATGCTAACAATGCTTATGTTGGTCTAGCATTGCCTGGAGATGCAGGGTCATGGCAGATAGAAAGCAAGGTATATTTGGAAGTCGTGTCCGTGAAACTTATGTTATCTAGTCTCTTTAAATGTTCTAGTGAGGCACTTAAAATGGGTTTGAATTTTGCGCCATTGACAGGGCTATCAATTCTGGACTCAAGCTGATATAAAGGGTTTTTTCCTAATCAACAATATTGTGCCCGGTGACTATAATTTGTATGCATGGGTTCCTGGCTTCATTGGTGATTACAGATATAATGCTACAATCACCATCTCACCGGGTAGAATGTTTTCCCCTTATCTTGTGGGTTCAGTCCAAAATTAGTTATGACTTTCCCTACTGAACAATTACTTGTTTGAACCTCTAGGAAGAGTCCTTACATTGGATTCACTTGTTTATGTACCCCCAAGGAGTGGACCTACCATATGGGAAATTGGGTTCCCAGATCGCACGGCTGCAGAATTCTATGTACCAGACCCTTACCCTACGCTAATGAACAAATTATACAACGAACAGCACAGAGACAAGTAAGCCAAAAACTCATTACATTATTAGTTTACAGTTGCTTCTTCTGTTTCCCAGTCTTCTTAATTTTTTCACTTTTACTAATTAATGTATTGGGGTCTCCACTTTTGATAGGTTTAGGCAATACGGGTTGTGGGATCGTTACACTGATTTATATCCAGATGAAGATCTTGTTTACACTATAGGTGTTAGCAAGTATAACAAGGACTGGTTTTATGCTCACGTTTCAAGGTAACTCAGCATAATTTCTGTGAAATTAGAAAAATGATGTTTGATCAACTAGAAATCATCCTTCAATAGATAAAAAGTCATCGAGCTTTCAATAATTATATTGGGATTGAAATGATAATTGAAAAACATTAACTAATTGTCAAGTTTTGTTGGGTTCTCACTCTAAATTGCACTGTATACAGAAACATAGGAAATAAGACATACCAGCCAACGACATGGCAGATTGTATTTGAAAATCAAAGTCAAATAGTAAAAGGAAACTACACATTGCAACTGGCCTTGGCATGTACCAATGATGCTGACCTGCAGGTATGGTTTGAAATTTAACACCACTGTGCATTTTTCTGCTAAGACCGAAGGTTAATGATTTTTTTATGACATGCGTTGTATGGTTGATCATATTAGGTTCGTTTCAATGATCCTAACGCTAATCCTCCAGACTTTGCAACGGGGAAAATAGGAGGAGATAGTGCCATAGCAAGGCATGGTGTGCATGGATTGCACAGGCTGTTCAGCATTAGTTTACCAAGTGATCGAATTGTGAAAGGAACCAACACCATCTATCTGAAGCAGTCAAGAGCCAGGAATCCCTTTCAAGGAGTTATGTATGATTATATCCGATTAGAACGACCTCCATTGACATTCATATGATCCTTACACATATAACTTCAAATTTTTATTTATTCTCCGATAAAAATAGAATACGTGCAGTAATAGCTGTTAATTCTTTGTCCTTAATTAAGATATTAAGGAAAATAGACTATTTAACAGCTATCCAAATCATAATAAAATTTTGTACAACTTTATTTTATGAAGAGATTGAAAGAAAAATCTCATTATTCTCCTTTGAGTTAGTTACTGCATATAAATGTTATATTTTCATTGCGATTAACAAACTCTTTGAGAATATTTTATTAAAAAAAAACTTTATTAAAATTAAGGATTATTTGAACGAGTTATGGTTAATTTTACCATTTTTTTTGTCACAGGTAATTTTATTATCATATGATCTAATAAGTTGAACTTTTCAAGATTTTTTGTAAGAAGAATTTTAGTTATTAATTTTCACTCAAATTTTTAAACTCAATTTTTACGCTTAAGCATTTAAACATATTTTTATTCTAAATATAATCATATTGACTGCAATTATAAAATAATTAGTTTATATATATATATATATATATATATATATATATATATATATATATATATATATTAGTTGACCATTTGTGTTTTCTTTTTTATGATCATATTTTTCAGATTCTTATTTTAAATATCTCAAAATATATATAATTAAATTCATATATATTTTTTAAAATTATGCATAAGTTAGTTGATAATACTCAATATAAATTAATAAAAATATGTAAAATAATAAAAAAATCTATATTTTATTATGAAAATATAAATATTTATATGGGTTTATATAAAATAGAAATAATATTAGAATAAAACACAAAACTTGTATAACTTAAAACGCCAACTTATTCTTAAGAACATGGATAAATGAAACTAAAATATACAAACATAACCAATATTAATCATTATTATTATTTTATTTAACAATCTATCTGGAATAGATATTTTTATTTTTATAGTACCTCTTTAAACAAAGAAATATTTCAAAGAACAAACTTTTATAATCCTCCTAAATTTTGTAACAACTGAAACCTTTGAGGGTTTAGTAAATAAGTCTGTCAATTACTCATCCCTTGTACAAAATTTTAACTAAATTACTTTATCATTAGTGAAATCTCTTAAAAAAATGAAACTAAACATCCATGTGTTTATTTCTTTGTACTAGATTATCAGAGTTGTATCATTGAGTTGTTGTCACCCAAAATGTCTTTGTGGCTTGAACAAATTTAGCTTTTAGCGCTTGAAGAGTGACTATTGATGGCTTCTTTTATGACTAGGAAATTGTACATGTGTAAACATAAAGACATACTATACCTTTAAGTACTCCTACTATATCATGTTGAAATTGTTTATATTATATATGAATTAGTCATGGGAAACTGGTTTATTCCTCTAAAAATTTGGATGGCAAAACTTAAAAGTTTTCATGATTATTTCATTAGTTACAAAAAGTACGGAAACATAAAATACTTGTTATGACCTTTGAGAAATGAGGAGAGTCGTACAATTATCTTTTCAAATGGTTATAAGCTATTAAAAAAATTCTCTTTAACACAATTGTCCAATAAATTGGTAACCCTTGTTTTATAAATGGAGTGCAAGATCTATAGGTTACATTCTTTAGCAAGTTTATTGGTCCTTCAAGTCATATATCAAAGGGTTCAACTATTACAAATCTATCATTCATGATAAAAAATATATCATAAAACTTTATTGACAACTTTTACACAAGATGTTAATAAAAACTTATTTGCATTAGCATTGACAATAGTTGAATGAGAGACAAATGATGCTTTAATTTTGTTCTTTCAGTTATTGAAATAATATGTTATACCTTAACAAAACTTTTGTATCATAAAATATAAATGTACAAACATATTAGCAACATTATGATCTTAAGAAGTTGTGTGAAACTCAGATAAATCAGTGTATTACATTTGATAAATAGCTTCAAATTCAACAATATTGAGTTGAAAAGGTATAAGTAATTAACATGAGTAATATATTTTAACTTAATCTTTTTTATTTTTCATCATTAATTTATGTATTTATTAACTTTTGGGAAATTTTGTTTTCTCGGAGATAAAAGTAACCAAGACTTCTAGCTAAATTATCTATTATGAGGTTAGAGTTTTAATAACCCAGTTCTATATTGGAACACATTTCATTGAAAAAGTGAACACAAGTGTATGATGGAGGAAAAATATATATTCATATGACCACCAATCAAGTAAAGTGTATGAACTCTATTTTAAAAGAAACATAAGTCTTACTAATAAGTGTCCTAGTCAAAGCCACATCTAAAAGAATAAAGTTATGGTTTACTAAACATGATGTGAAAGTAGATGCAATGTTACAAGCAGGACACAACATGTTTCATGTCTAAAGTTATAGTAGAGAAAATGGTGAGTCTAAATGGTGAGTTTAAAGTGTTGTGTCCAAAGTGTGTGGGTATCCTCCAAAGTCCCAGGTAGTTTGAAGAAAGGAGTGATAGAGTATTACTATAAATAAGGAATGGTAGACCATTACTATAAATAAGAAGTGATAGTTTGGGTCTACCAATCAAGTAGAGTGTATGAACTCTATTTTAAAAAAAATATAAGTCTTACCAATAAGTGTCCTAGTCAAAGCCACATCTAAAAGAATAAAGTTGTGGTTTATTAAATATGATGTGAAAGTAGATGTGACGTTACAAGCAGGACACGACATGTTTCAGAAGTGTGTGAGTATCCTCCAAATTCCCACATCAGGTAGTTTGAAGAAGGGAGTGGTAGACTATTACTATAAATATAAGGAGTGATAGTTTGGGTCTACTCACCGCAACAACACTAGTCTTTGGGTGTATTAGGGGCTTGGGTAGTTGTTTGTCAAGAGAGGGTTTGCAAATTTTTCTGTGCAAAAATTGTATAAGAGAGTTTGCAATTTTGTCCTTGTAAAAATTACAAGTTGAGAAATGAACCACGTTGTTGAGTGTGTTAATAGATTAGACAAAAAGTGTCAAACCACATTAATTTCTGAGTTTGTTTCTCTATCTTTGTTTCTCTCATGTATGTGCTTTTGCAGGTGAAATTTTTTTTTCCCCTTTGGTACCAACATAAAGTTTAAGAATTGTCACATCCCCTTTGGTACCAACATAAAGTTTAAGAATTGTCACGTACACAATATGATAGACAAACACAAATGTATATCATCATATTGGATAATTGATGATATGATTGTGAAGAATTTCAATCTCTTCGATTACCTTATCATATGTTATTATTATGTATTACTCATGTTATGTACAAATTGGTATATATGTTGATATAGTATATAGGTTAGATTGAATTTATAAAACTTATGAGTATCAATTTCATGTAATACAAAATGAAGAAATTTAGTTTTTTTTTTTTAAATTGGTCCAAATTTCATTTTGGAATTAGCTATGCGACATGAACAATAAAAAAGGTATATTACAACAAACATTCACAACTCAATGAATAGATTAAGAATTTAAATAATATGAAAAAAAATCATTTTATCATCCTAAAAATCATAATCATAATAATTATTCACATAAATAATAATATTATAATATATATTTCACTTTTAATATTAATGTATCTATTTCATTTTTTTAACTATTCTTATACTTTTAATTTTTAATTATAAATTTATAATCTTAAAAAAGTTAAATATAAATAATTACATTTTAAATTATTTTTTAATTAAATCAAAACATAAAAAAATAAAAAGAAAACAAAAGTTATGTTATATGTAACATAATTTCAATATTAATAATAAAATAATATTAACTTTAGAAATCGTATCATCTAACATCATTTCTTTAAAAATATAATAAAAATGTGCTATAAAACATAATTTTGAAAAAAAAAATACAATGGAGCACGACTTTGTGTACGAAAAAAAATAAAAAAAATAACACAATATTCTGTTTGGCAATCTAAATATTTAATATAACTTTTCAAATCTATAATTTCATTTTTTAAAATTTACCTATTTTTACTAAACTTCAGGCAGTTTAATAAATAAACCTTATAGTGCAATGCACCATTTGATGCCCACATACATCTTTATTTTGTTCACTATCCCCTTATTTTCTCAAGATTGATCATAAAAATATTATTATTTTATGTTGAAATGCTTTGAGAGGTAAAATATTATTTCAGCGAGTCAACACTTTTTCTAAAATTTTCACTATCCACATTGGGTTATATAATGTAAACTGAAGGTCAGTGAGGTGGAATTTAGGCTTTGAAATGCAATGGAACAAGATTGAAGGTTTGTAGACAATTGCTTCACACACTCTTGTGTTTTCCAACTGCACCTCTATACATTTTAAATTGGTAACATTGTCCTTTTGCCTTTAATTAGAATCTGTGGGTTCTATCTTCCTTATCCGTTATTTAGATCATAACATATTTTCATTAGTACAGTTGTTAATAGATATTTTAAAAGTTTATCTAAGTTTAGTATAAGATAAATAGAAGGAAAGGAAAATAAAATAAGATTAGATAAAAAAATCTGTAAGGAAATGTTTTCAAACAATAATAGGCCAAAAAAAAAAAATCCTGCTACTTTATATCACCCCTTATGTAAATAAAAAAAATCTAAAATGTTATAAATATATTTAGATTATTTTTTAATTGTTTCGGCACCGATAAATTACCAGAGCGACACCGAAAAGGCAGTACGAATTGGCTTTGCGATTTTAATTGTTTCGGGTATTATATATATATATATATATATATATATATATATATATATATATATATATATATATATATATATATATATATATATAATTAAATATTTATATATTAACATATTTTAAATAATTACATATTTAAATATTGATATGATGATATATTTTTATGTATTTAAATTTTTATATATTTGTTTATTTGTATATTTATATTTATATAATTAGATATTAATATATTTAGATATTTATATATTAATATATGTTAATATTTACATATTTAAATATTTATCTATTTTTATATTTATAA